TAGATCAAACATTTAACATAACCCAACTATTAAGATATGAGTGAATTACTACTTGCTATGTATATGAGATCAGTTGTTGTGGTTCATTATTATGATTTACTTCAATGTAGCTAAAACCCTTTCTACAACATTCTTATAATCCAGGTCTCCTGTAGTGCAGCAATGGTTTCTGACTGTAGCATATTAAACTCCATCCAGTAAAGATTACTGAACTTTAAATATCTGCATTATGGAGAATAAAAAAGGAATGATATCTATTGTCAAAGGCGTTCATGGTTAATCGGGCCAAGTTTATGTGCCCAAAGGGCAAAGATACAGCCTGTGTGTTAAGAGGACTCAGAATCAGGGGCAGAACATCATAAGGAAGAGCTGCCTAGGTGAGTTCAGTTTAATTGGTTTGCAGAATAGACACAAGAATGTCATTTCCAAATGGATGGAATGGCATGAACAGGAGCCAAAAGGAAAAAATGTATAGATTGTGGAGATGGGTTCAGCTGAAGCAGCGGGGCGACGAGCAGGGACCAAAAGGCAGGTGACGGGAAGCCCTGGGTAGTAGGCCTGTGCTCTGGCCTGTGGGGGAGTGACTGGCACAAACTGGAGAAATGGGATTATGTTGAGGTCTATTAAAAGGAAACTGATTCTCTGAGTGGCAAGTGACTCCTCTACATCCTGGAAAAGATTAGACCAATCTTGAACTATCACAGTGGTCCTCATGGCAATGTTTCTCTTTCGATTACACTAGCTTCATTTATTAAGAGAGTGCTTGCTAGCTAAGCACTTTACATGCAGTACCACACTTGATGCTTATAATAACTCCATAAAAGCTGAGAAAACTGTGGCTTAGAGAACTCAAAAAACTTGCCCATGGTCATCCAATATGATCTTAATGCCATGTTTGTGACTTCAAAATCCATATTCTTAACTCCTTCTTGTGCATTCTTAATTAGTTCCACCTCATTCCTATAGAGAGTGGCTTCAAAAGAGAGTCATTAGAACACGTGTGCTTTTTTTTCCCCTTGAAAAGCATGTTGAGTTAAAATTCAGTATAAAGTGATGATATTTGGGTCCATATTCAGGAAACACACACATACTCAGTTTGGTTTCATTAGACAAAGATCTTGGTGGTTTTCCTGACCATTATCCACCTGCTAAGTTATCAGTGAGCAGCCAGACAGTGAAATGTAAAGGATGTGAGAGGGAGTGTAGTAGCCATCACACCCCACCTCCCCTTTTTACTTTCCTAATAGACCATCAACCAATCTATGCCTGAACACTCCCTAGTATGGAGCTCACTCCTTGTGGAGATGGTGATCCAATTTTTTGTAAGTTTCTAACAGTAAACTCTGTCTTTTGTGCAACTCTTCCTATCCCTGGATCTTAGAACTTGAAAAAATACAATATCAATCTATGTTGTCTTCTATATGGAAACCCCTAACAACAGTGCTCTGCTCTTTTCTCCTGGCTACATATTCTCATATGACATGTTCCTAAAGCACTTACTGTTTGCCTACTATGTTTGCTTTCAAATTTCTTAATGTCTTCAGTGTTTAATGGATAGGCTTTAAGCAGTAGAGTGAAGTAATTACCATTTCTAATTTGGACCTTACATTTCTACTAATACAAACCATTACCATTTATCTTTTAACTTTTGAGAAAGCAGAGCATACGTTGGCTTCTGTGAATTTCACCAAGACTTGGATGCATTCACTAGAACTTTCAATGAACCAGGTCTCTCTCACGTTGAATATACATCATTTATTTATTGACTCCAAATACATAAGTTGATGCTTATCTCCTTTGAAATGGTATATTTGTCGTTTGGTCTATCCTTGCAACCTGGAGGAATCTATTTTGAATTCTAATTCTATGCGCTAACCAACAAGCCATCTACAGGAAATAAATAGGTGGCATAATCACAAACATATCTTTTTAGGGGTAGAGCCCCAGGAAATGAATTTTCAGAAAAATTCAGAGCCCATCCATCTGAATCCCCCAAAGGACATAGCATAGTCTTCTAAGATGGACTTGGAAGTGTCCTTCTCTCCTGAAGGGATATCTTGGAAAAACTAGACTCTTGCAGGAAGAAGAGGCTCTTCCAGGATAGGGCTGAAAGGGAAATGCTGAGACCTCCCAACACAGACAATGCTTAGGAGGGTGCATCTGTGAAGAAGAAAAACTCCTCTTCTGAGAATGATTCTCATGTGTTGACTCTGATCCCAGCTACCAGACCTCCACCCTGATTACTCAGAACTGAAAATAGCCCTCCAAGAGCCCTAAGGAGGAGGTTCCACCTGAGACCATTTCCCTGACCGTATAACCAAATTTCCTCTGCCAATCCACACAAGACATCTACTATCTCTGAATCTAGGTTGTTATTAAAAATGTCAAATGAGATAGGAAGGCAGCTACTAGAGACTTCCCATTGGATCAGTTGATTACATAAGATATACTATTATGAAGCAGAGTGTTTTATTTTTCTTTATAACTCTTGAGAGAGAGAACAGCCTAGTTTGGTAAGAATGGGGGATCAGGGAGAAGCTAGTTATCAGACCTGTTTCTAAGCTGAAATTGGCCATGATTTCCAATTGGGAAGGGAAGGGACCAGAATCTAGATAGGTTTGTGGGGAGGCTTCTGAAAATTACATACCTTCTCCAACCTTCTCATGGGTCAGTATCTGTGACCCAAAGCCACCTTCATAGAGGCAAATGTAACATATTTTTTCACTTCTCTTTGTTCAGAAAAAAGTAATGAGAAGTTACTGAGCTAGAGAAATAAATCCATATGCCATAGGTCCCTTGCTCCATTACTGTAGCCTACTAGTGGAGTTTGGTTTGAAGAATGGGCTCCTGTGCTTGTAGACATGATCATGCTGGATTCTTGTTGCAATTTCTAAGCCTTTGGTATTCCGTATTTGTGTACATGAAGGCTTAGGACAGGAATGTAAATTAAGATTCAATACAATGGAACTACCCTAGAAATCAATCTTGCCAGTTTTACCCCTTCTTTCAACAGAAGCATGAGACCCCTCTTCTTGGGCCTCTCTCTGCTGAAGCCAGTGGTGTGTTTCTAGGGAACTAAGATCTGTGCACAGGCCAACTATTTTGGCTACATAACTTTCTTGTCTGATTTTATGACAGTTCTTCTAAGCCTGTTTTGCAAAGTGCCATAATATAATCTCTTGGAGGAAAAAAAGTGAACTAAAACAGTTGTGTGTATGTATGTGTGCATTATTTAACCAAGCATCTCAGGCTTCAGTAGACCCCTGGGGTTTGCATTACTATAATCCCTAGTGTTGAATCAGTTGCAGATTTCATGTCACTGATAAATGTTGCACAGAAAAAAAAAATCAAAAGTGAGATAATTATTTGGTTTCAAAGTGCATATTAGAGAAATCACTATTTCTACACTAATATAAGTATCTATAGAAATATTGAAACCATTTTGAATAATTTATTTTCAATTTGTATTACACATTCTTAGTCAAAATACTATTAAGTCTTCAATATAACTGATGTTGAAAGCAAACTGAAGAGCTATAAACAAGTTACCTACAATTCTGTTATCTTACTGGATTATTTTTGAATACTTAGTATTTCAAATATAGAATAAAAATAATATAGTGGATATTTATGTATATATGGATCAAATTCTATTAATATAGACTACACCATTAAGTTCAGTGAATTTTCTTAGTTTCATTTCCATTACCCATTCTATTTTTATTACAATAATTAGAATGCTTTCAAATTGAAGGGCAGAGATTGATGGCAGTTATAATGATAGACAATTAACAGTTGTGACTTGCACTTAAATTTCTGATACCACTTTCAGCCAGTGCACCATAGACTGAATGAACTAGAGGCATGCCCTAATCAGAGAATCTGAGCAACAGACACATTAAATATAAACATTCAAGTCAACCATTCCTAAACTCCACAACAGGTTTTGATAATCTCCTGTGCCCATGATCTGAATAACTGCCTAAACTTTCATTTCATTGGGCCAATAAAGATGTCAGGAGTTACTATATACCAAATAGTTTTAAAATAAAGCAAACATTATATAGCCCTCATTTCCCTGACCCCAACTATGACAGAAAACCAAAAGCCTAGCATTTGACTGCTTTTATTAAAATAGGTTATAGATATGAAATCTTTAAAGAAAAACATTTTTGTTTGCATTTAACAATGACAATATGAACATTGCCTTAAGTGGGTCCCTTAATTTTCAGCATGACTTAAATTTTTTTAAAAATTACTGTTTCATTTAAAGCAGATAAACCCACATTTCTTTTTTTGTTTTTTTTTAATCAAAAAAGAGTTCCAAATTAGGAACAGTAAAATAATGTACCATAGTAAGTGCATCTCTTCAAATAAAGTGACCTAATCAGTCCTCATAGTGTCCATGTCTGCACGGGACAATTATGCAGAAGAGAAGCTCTAGAAAAATCGGTTCATTCCAAAAGAACTTTGCATTTAAATCACTGCATCTATTAAATGGAGAGTCATGGAGAAACTGTGCCTCTGCCACAGCTGCCCCTTGTTAACCAGCACGAAGAGCTGGTGAGAAAGCCCAGAATCACTGTTTAAAACAAAACTACTAAAAAAAAGATAGTAAAGCCAAACCTTACCAGAAAGGAGCAAGCTGACGCCACAGAGAACTAAGCCGGCTAAAGAGTCCATGCTTCCCCAGATCTCTCCATCCAGTTTGCGCAGCTGTGCATGAGGCCCCAAGGATCCTTTCAGACATGCAGAGCTTTGTGACTTTCCACTGGCATGTTCTACTCGGTCTTGTTTACCAGTCAGAGGCAAGAAGGAACAGCACAGAAGCACGCTGTAACAGTCTCATTTCTGTCTGAGCACAGGGAGTTTTAAGTTCCTTTTTCCTGTTTCCTTTGTAGATTAGGATGGGAAAGGCCGTATCTTAAAGGCATTTGGTATCAGCAGGGCTGGGGCCACGGCAAGCCCTACCCGTCTTGCAGTTCATCAAAAACACTTACCTATGGCTGTTACTTTTGCCTCTGTTTTTGCGGCTGGTGCCGAGGTAGAGGAATTCTCATTGCAAGTGTGGGTCCTGGTCAGCATTTTCAGAAACAATAGAGGTATCCTCTCACAGGCGGGAAACAGAGAATAACAAGCCCTCCGCCTATGTATGGTATGCGATGACCGGCCCTTCTCAGCCTTCTAACAGCTCCCGTGGTCCACCTGGCATCCCTGAGACAAGGGGCTTTTGGGTGCAGGGAGTGGTTTTTGCTTTTGTTCTCTTATTTTAACCCACATGATTTCAATTGGGAAAAGTTTTCTGTGATGAGGGAACACAACCCAAAATGCAGTTAATCTGGGTAATTACCGGTGAGGTCAGTGCTCACTGTAGCCACTGAGACCAGAGTCCAAAACTGTTAGCCTGTTTTCTTTTACACAAATGGTTTATTTATTGGCCAAGAGCCCAAAAATGTCCATGCTACTGGCTATAGCTTTGATTTTTATTAACAATTCATCTGAAGGTATTTAATTTCATAAGAGAACTTGGCACAGAAGGATTTTAGTAATGAGAAGGATTTCATAGTAATTGGCCAGTGGTGCTTCAGAAGAAAATTACATCCAAAAATTTTTAAATAACCTGTTGTGGATAAAATGAAAGTTCCTGTGGCCAGGATTCTCACCTGGCCCTGGCTGGCTAGCTGCCTACACAGGTGTGGGCAATACATCGCTATTGACTATATAAAGAGCTCTGCCCAGTGCTCTGGGAGACACGGTGGCACGGCTGCAAGGCTGTAGGAAAGCAGAGCAGAGGCTGTACTGGTGGCAGCGCTGAGGACAGAGGCTGAGACCAGCTTGCTGCATGCAGACTTACTCTGAGTGGATGGGATTTTAGTGACTGACAGCGCTGAGGACAGAGGCTGAGACCAGCTTGCTGCATGCAGACTTACTCTGAGTGGATGGGATTTTAGTGACTGACCTGCCACTGTGGATATAAAGTGCTGAAACCCGTTGGCAAGACACCTGTGTAAAAACACAACTATAAGTGATTAGATTGGGATAAAAATATTATTCATAAAAGCAGAGAGGGTATATAGGCCAAAAGGAAAATAGCCATTGGAGTAACAATAACTGACATGAGAGCAGAGACCCTAAATTTGTCCAGACAATAATTTCTCCATAACACCCATGAATTATGACTTCAGAGAATTGATACTCTGTTCATTAGCCCACCTTTATACCCACAGGAAAAACTGCTCCTTTCCCTACTCACCATAGGAAAAGGCAGATGCTGCTTGTTTTGCCTAATTTCTGTCCCAGGTTTTATCGCATCAGTGATGACCTTGAGAACCAACTGATGTTTCCAGTCTGCTGAGGTAGAGAAGCTCAGGTTCTGTTTTCAAGCAGTCCTGGAATCATACACTGGCTGGGTCACATGTGTGGCCTGAGACAAGTTACTCAATTTGAGTTTCAGTTTCAACAGCTGTAAAATGGCAATATTTCCATCATGGGTATTTTTGAGAGGATTAAATGGTTTAAAAACATGTAAAAATATCTGGCACTGTACCTAATTCATAGAATGCTTTTGCTAAGTGTTAATATTCATTTCCTTGTCTTTCCACTCTGTCTCTGATTTTGGTCCCAAGAGGTTCCTCCAGAAAGCCATTCTCTAATCCTAAGAGATGGCTTTCTGTTTGTTATTTGTAAAGAACCAGTCCAGGAGTTGGGGAGTCTGGGCTGGAGGCCTAGCTCTGCCAATCTGCCTGTGAGGCCTTGGACAAGTCATTTCCTATCCCTAGACCTCAGTTTCTTCAACTGTAAAATGAAGGAGTTAGACTGGATGTGACTAATTTCCCTCTGACTGTAACAGATCACAAGTCTAAATGTGTCCTAAAACTGTCCTATTCTCAGTACCCCCAACTTGATTCCTAGGTCCTTTCATCTGGACAGGTCAAAGATGCTAGCTTTGTATCTCTGTCCCTGTGAAAGCCTGGGAGGGTCACAGCTGTACTCTATTTTAAGAACATGGTGCCTGGGACTTTGTGAGGCCCACTGGCCCCAGCCACACCAAGCAACGGTGGAAGGCCTCGGAAATGAAACTCCAGGGCATCTGCCTCCTCAGGCGCAGCTTCCTCTGTTTGTGTTTGATGACCACGCAATGAAATCATCATTGCTCACACTCCCTCCTGTTGTCTAGTTTTTGTGGGCTGAAGATGCTACTACCTTGCTTCCTTTTCTGGGCTGCCTCCCTTTGTTATTCAGAAAACAGCTCAGTTTCATCCTTCTCCCATTATCTGGAAAGGTGGACCCTTACCCAGAATTGCTAGTCAACTTCTTCCTCCCTCTCTTGTTCAGAATGAGTGACTCAGTTCCATTCTTCTCTCTGTGTCTTGCCAATGGTTTCAGCCCCGGGCAAGTTCGCTGTGGATTCAGTATGACCAAAGAAATTGACAGCACAACATTCTTTGGGGTGAAAGGGTTATACCCAACTTTATTTCCAGGTGGCAGGTCAGTCACTAGAATCCCATTCACTCAGAGCCAGTCTGCATACGGCAAGCTGGTTTCTACTTCTGGGCCCCTCTGCCTGCACAGCCATCCTCTGGGCCTCTGTCCTCAGTACTGCTGCCACTCCAGCCTCTGCTCTCCTGCAGCCTTGCAGCCACGCCACTGTGTCGCGCCCAAAGCACTGGGCGGAGCTCTTTGTATAAAGTCAACAGCCATGTATTGCCCACAGGTGTGCAGTGAGCTAGTCAACTAGGGCCAGGTGAGAATCCTGGCCACAGAAACTCTCATTTTATCCACACTCTGTATTCCAGAAATTTTGCTCAATTTATTTCTCCATTACCCAAAAGCTATATAGTTTAATCTTCTCTTCCATTTAACCCTTTCCACTGTTATTTGGAATATTGACTCCATTTAATACTGCTGGATTTCCTGACCCTGTGATTATATAGATAGTCAAAGGGATGAACAATTTTTCTCTGGGATGTCTGAATCTTTAGCATGTAAATTCCAGGTATAAAGGGAAGATAACTTGTAGACAAAAGTGCCCAGACATGCTTTGCTCCAGTTTTCTGTCCTTTGAATCTTAGAACATGGAGAACCAATCAAGGGACAATAATAATAGCTTCACCAAGCACTGTGGGGCCAATAGGTCAGCAGAGATGACTGGCAGCAGGTTGGGAAGTTGCAAAACTGGATGGCATGTCAAGATTTCCAAGGGAAGGGAGAGGCCACTTCCATGTCTGGATAGAACTTTCCCCAGAACATAATGTATTAAGGAAACACCACATACTTGGACATGCCACAATCCTTCTCTAGAAAGCTGGCTATGGCTATTGCAGATAAAATGAGAGTTCCTGTGGCCAGGATTCTCACTTGGCCCTAGTTGACTAGCTCACTGCACACCTGTGGGCAATACATGGCTGTTGACTCTATATAAAGAACTCCTCCCAGTGCTCTGGGCATGATATGGTGGCAGGGCTGCAAGAGAGCAGAGCAGAGGCTGGAGTGGTGGCAGCACCGAGGACAGAGGCCGAGAGGATGGCTGTGTGGGACGACTTTGCAGAGAGGCCCAGAGGCAGGCTGTATGGACAGAGGGGCCCAGAGGCAGAGACCGGCTTGCTGCATGCAGACTCATTCTGAGTGAATGGGATTCTAGTGACTGACCTGCCACCTGGAAATAAAGTTGGGTATAACTCTTTCACCCCAAGAACATTTTGCTGTCAATATCTGGTCACATTGAATCCATAGCAAACTTGCCCGGGGCTGAAACCCATTGGCAAGACAGCCATCATCAGGGCATTTGCATTCCCTGAAGAGCTTTGTTGGGGATCAGCTGGATTTGTTTTCTATGCTCCATCTACCTGGAAAGGTTGAAATATCTTCCCATCCTTGCCTGACTACCCCTACTTATATTCTCAGTCTCAGTTTTAGAAAGGTCTTTCCTCACCATTAAACCTAAGTTAGGGTTCCCCCTGTTCTTCTCTAACACTATGTCCTTTTTTTTCATGGTACTAATCACAAATGGTAATCATATATTTGTGTCTTTATCTTATCAACCTTTCTTTCCTCCCAGTTGACTGCAATCTTCATGAGGCAAGGACCATATCTAATTCACTACTGAATTCCCAGACCTGAGCATAGTGTCTAATGCATAGGCCTTAAATAAATACTTAATGAATTAATAATAAATGAAGATATTCTGACTGTCACTCATATTTAGAAAAGGTTTTAGAGTCAAGCAAATCTAGATTACATGTTATAGCTGTAATTTACTCTCTGTATAACCTGGGCAATTCATATCTGAACTTGATTCCACATCTTTAAAATGGGAGAAAAGAGTGTCTAATTAGTGGGATAAGACATACACAGTATATGGCATAATACATATTCAATGAAATTTCTACGGGCTCCTTCTCCATCCACAACCATCACCACCATCCCGGGACTGTTATACAGAGCTATTTGTAATGAAGAAAGGAGGTCCCACACAGGCTAAGTAACTTGCTCAGCTGTGGGTAGTAGAGGGACTATTAGAATCCTGGTATCTTGGCCTCGAATTTTTGCAAGTTCAGTATATGACTTTTTTTTCATAGTTCATAGACCACCATGTGCAGAAAAGTAGACAAAGAAAAATATAGGAGGTATCACAGTACCAATAGGGTATACCCAGACATTAGGAAAATATTCAAAATGAAACTTTAAAAGATAATGGAAAAATATGAAGATCCTGAGAAATGCAGTCACTTCTCATTGTGCTTTCAAAATAGTAATAACTAATATTGGGATATGTGAGCATTCCTGCCTTGCTCCAAGGACCTGAAAGGAGGCTTCCTCATGGGTCAAGCTTATTTAGTTTGATTTTTCCAACACTTACAGCAGAACAAAAGGGAAAACCAAACCAATAAACAGGCAAAGAAAATGAGGCAACAAGCAAGGCACTTGGCCAGTTTTTCATTTTCTCTTCTCTGCTTTTTGCACTTAATATATGCAAAAACATCTATAGAAAACATTAAAAGTCTTTGGAACAGATTAACAAAAACATGAATGGATAATGAAAATGTTTGTGAAGAGATGTGGAAAATAGTGTATACAATGTTACT